GCTAGGGCCGAGGCGGCAGCCGAGGCGATGGCCGAGGCGGCTGTGGCACGCGTGACGCAGGCCGCGGCGGCCGAAGCCGCGGCGAGTCGGGAGGCGCTTGCTGTCCCCGCGCTGCGGCAAGCCGCTGCCGTCGCGACGAGGCGGCTCGAAAGCGACAACATCTCGCTGAGCAACAACGCCGTCAACCAGTTGGCCTCGATGGCTAAGGAGGCCGTCAACCAGTTGGCCTTGATGGCTAAGGAGGCGGGCGCTGTGGCGACCTCGTTGGGTAGTGAATTGGCCTCGGTGGCTAAGGTAGCGATCGACGCCAACCGCGAGATTGGCGCCAACCGCGAGACTTACAAAGACCTCGAGCAGATCCTGGACCTCGAGGTGACGTTCGAGGCGGAGCAGTCCGGCCGGCAAGCACTCGCGGAGGAGCACGCATTCGCAGTCCACAGGCAACTCCGCGAGGCGCGGTCCGGCTGGGCCCTTGCCAAGATGCAGCTCGTGCTGGGCGCCACAGCGTGCGCGCGCAAGCAATCCGCCTTGGCCCGCTGGGCGCGCAGAGCCTGCGGCCTAAAGGTAGCCACGCTCAGGCGGCGCGCGGCGGCGGCCGCTGCCGACGCGGCTGACCTGCGGGGGTGTATCAGGCAGGCGACGCAGCTGTTTGAAGAATGAACTTTCTCACGACGATCAGCATCAGGTACGAATAACGGAAACTCGCACCGATTCCAGCGCGCTATCGGTTTGCTAACTAAAGCGTGTGGATGCTGGGTTGACGGAAAAATCGAGGGACGCGACCCACCTCGCCACAGACGGTCCCGCGCCTCGCCGCTAAGTTTGCGCGGCACGCGCCCCGGCGCCTAAGGGGTAAGGGCGCCCCGCAGGCCGCACCTAGGCCGCACCGCGTCCACTGTGTGCCGCGTTTTTTGTCCGGAGTGAAGTCCAACGCGCTCGTCGGTGGCGGCTTCCCTCAACCTGCGCCGCGCTCGGCGAACCTCGACAGCGCTTTCGGTGGCATGCAGCTCTTTGCTCTTTGCGACAGAAGCCCCTGGAGAGCAGCGCTCCTCTGCGTGCTCACAAGCCTCTGCACAGTTGACACAGCCTACTGTGCGGCTGCCACAGCTGTGACAGCGATGGGCTCGCCCTCACTGGCCCTCAGTCACTTGTGCTGCGGCTTGTGTGAGCGACACTGCTCGGTGACCGCTGCGGGCACACTGTGAGACCATGGGTGTGAGGCGTATAAAACCACGACCCCGCTCTACCAGCGCTTGGTCACATCGGCCCCGAGGTCAGATTCATCTACTCTGTTGATGACAAGACTTGTCTACCGGCTGGAGCCGAGCAGGAGGGCCCGGCGCACAACCCCTTGGTCAACTCACCCTCCACACCCCGTAAAAGAAAGGCCGAGCTCGAACCTGTTTTTTGGACACACGCGCCCACACCCACAAATGGCCGCTACGATGCTGCGGCTTCGCCGACGGGCGAGTCCAGGACCGCGCACAGACTGAGGAGCTCCTGCATCTCCTCCTCCTGCATCCGCTCCTCGCACTCCTCCACGATCAGGTGCAGCTCGACGAGGGAGCGCGGCCGCGAGTTGATGAGCATGAGCTCCTCTGCGCGCGTGAGCTGGAAGCGCTGCAGCGCCTCGACGAAGCGGGCGATGCCCTCGCGGGACTGCGCCGCACACGCCGCCTTGTCCAGGTAGCCAGTCGCCTGCTCGGTGATCACCTCGACGTCCTGCAGCGAGCGGCAGGAGCCCGACACCGCGCGGCGCGCACCCGGCAGCGGCATCTTGCGCTCGGCCGCTCTCCGCTCGCGAACCTGCCGCTGCAGGAGCGAGGCCACCTCGAAGTTGGTTAGGTGGCCCGCGCTCTTGTCGATCACCTGCATGCGCCCGGCGTGTGTGTATACCGCAAGCCCACAAAAATCAAAAAAATAAACGTCGGGCAAATCGTGGGAATTTTTGCCCATTAAAAGAAATCGCGCGAGCAACACTGTGTATGAAGCCCTCCCTCGGGCCATCCGCCGCGCCGGACACGCCTAGTAGTGTGCGCTGCCTCTTGGATCTGCCTCCCGAGTGCCTCGCGCTCGTGCTCGCCTCTCTGGCGGTGCGGGACGTGCTCGCCGCTGCCGCCACGTGCCCCGCGCTCAAGGTGGCGGCCGACGACCCCATCCTCTGGCGAAACCTCCTGTGGCAAGTCTGGATCGCAACCGCCGCGCGCGGGGCCGAGAAGGCGGACTTTGCCGCGCGCCTGCTTCGCTACCAGCAGGCGTCGTCCATGCGGGCGGGCGTCGGACCAGACAGCACCGGGGCCGCCGTCGAGGCGGAGCTGCCTGAGCGCCCGAGCGAGGCGCGCCCGCTGCCGCTCTCGCAGTGGCTGCGGAGCTACGACGCGCCGGACGCGGCGCTGGCTGGAGTGTGGCGGCAGCGCCTGATGTGGAGCGGCAGCACCGACCAGTGCCACGGCGACACGGTGGGCTGCGCGTGCGTGCACGGCTCCCCGACGCCGCAGCCGTTTGGGTCGGGGCGAGTGGTGTACTACGAGGTGCGGGTGCTCAGTCAGGGAGAGCACGGGTTCATCGCAGTCGGGTGGAGCCCCGAGGGCTTCCCGTCCAAGAACAAGCAGCCCGGGTGGGTGAGGCACACATACGGCTACCACGGTGACGACGGCCACGTCTACTCGAGCTTCGGGTACGGCCGCCGCTTCGGCGCCCCCTTCGGCACCGGCCGCACCGTCGGCACTGGGCTGGTGCTGCCTCCGCCGGGCGCTCCCCCGGACCGCTGCCACGGCAGCCTTCTCTTCAAGGCGTGGAGGCGTGGAGGGCGTGTCTTCACACCCGCAGCCGTGAACAGGCGCCATCTTCTTCACGGTCGACGGCGAGCTCTGCGGCGCCCCCTTCCCCTCCGTGCCGGCGCCCACGCTCCTCCGGCCGGCGGTGGGCGTGCACTCTGTCGGCGAGCAGGTCGAGCTCCACTTTGGAGACGGCGCGGCGAGCGTCATCGCGGCGTCGCCGCCGCGCCGGCCGTCGCCCTTCGCCTTCGACCTCGCCGAGTACTGCGCGCGCGAGGGCGGGGCGGTGCGCGCCCCAGCGGCGGCGGCGGCGGGGCGGGCGAGGGATCGCGAGGCGGCGCAAAGCTCCCACCCGCGGCTGCAGGCGGAGAGGAGGAGACCCATACCAGCCACCATGCGTACCCCCCCCGTCTAGCGAGAGCTCGCACCCGGGGCCGCGGCAGGCGGAGGAGGAGGGGGGAGGGGAGTAGCCCTCCTCCCAAGAAAAGCCGCCACCCGCTGTCTTGCGCTGACTGGCGCCCCGTCACCATTCGACAGAGTCCCCCCCCTCCCTCCCCGAGCGTGCAGGCGTCGCTCGAGCAGATGCTGCCGTGGGTGAGGCGGCGAGGTTGAGCCGCCTCCCCCTCCCGGCGACCCTTCCGAGCCCTAGGGGCCGCGCGCACAGGTGCTGCACGAGGTGCTGCAGCTCGCCTTCCTGCAGGAGCCGCCCGAGGGCGACGACTACCACGAGCTGCAGCGCTTCGCGCGGAGCCACCACCCACTCAGCCTGCACCCGAGCTGGGGCGAGATATAGCCGAGATATAGCCGAGATATAGCCGAGATAGCCGAGAGCCTGCACCCGAGCTGGGGCGTGCCGACGCTCGTCGAGCCGGCGCAGCACACGCTGTGAGCAGCGACTCTTCACACCCGCACGTGTGAGCAGGCGTGCCGACTCTCTATATCTCGGCTATATCTCGGCTATATCTCGGCTATATCTCGGCTATATCTCCGCACGTGCGAGCAGGCGTGCCGACCCTCGACGAGCTGCAGCCCGAGCAGCTGCAGCAGCTGTGCAAGCAGCTCCTCACGCGCTTCGCGCAGCGGCACGCCCTCGAGGACTACGACGGCGCCGCGCCCTCCGACGAGGAGAGCGACGACGAGGAGGACGGCCAGTGAGGGCTCCGGAGGAGTCGCAAGGGCGCAAGGGCGCCCTTGAGAAGGGGATGCCCGGCGGGCGCGCCCTTGTACAGAAGCTCTTCGTTAGCGCTCTCCCGCACGAGGCCGACATGCTTAGTGATACCAGCCCGTGATGCCAAAGCCCGCAGCTGCGCGGGCGCGAGATGGCCTCGACGCTCCGAGCCGCGTCATTGAGCCTCTGAGCCTCGCGCAGCGGCAATCGGGACTGCTGGGCGGAAGACAGCGACCTGGGAGTGAACCTGGGTGGAGTTCCACACACACACACACACACACACACACACACACACACACACACACACACACACACACACACACACACACACACACACACACACACACACACACACACACACACACACACACACACCGGAGTCCGCTAGGGTTTTTTTTTCGCAAGCTCGCCCCTCGGCTAGTCGTGTTACTCATGCACCTGGCCGCGCTCTGCACCCTTGCGCTGCATCCGACGCTCCGCCCAGCGTTGCCTTGCGCCCGAGCGGCGTCGGCAACGATGGCGCTCGAGGGCGTGCCGCCAGAGCTCGCGAAGCAGGTGGTCGAGGCTGAGGCGCGGGCGGCTACGGGCCGCACGCCCAGAGTTGCAGGCACGGCTGTGCTCGGCCTTCTCGCTGCGGCGAGCGCCGCCGTCGCGGCAGGCTCCCTAGCAGGCAACGAGCAGGCGGCGGCGTTGGCGGAGGACGTGCTGCCGTTTGGCTCTGCACCCTTGTCCCTGCTCCTCGACGCTGGCGTCGGCGGGGCCTGCCTGTGGGCCTACGCGCAGGAGATGCAGACCCGCGACGAGAATCTCGATCGCATCTGGACCGAGCTGCAGCAGCGGCGTGCTGCCGCCGGCGGCGCAAATCGCGCAGAGAGGCGCGCCAAGAAGGTGGCCCGAGAGCGTGTCTTCACGGGCGGTGGCGGCTTTGCAGCCTCGCCTCCTCCTCCGCCGCCTCCGACGCCGGCGTCGCCCCTTTCGCCGCCGTCGGCGGGAGCCGCGTCGGAGCAAGATGGCGGCGGCTTGCTTTCTAGCGTGAAGGATTTCTGGAACGAGGCAAACGAGCTGGGGCGTGCAGGGGCGCTCAATCTTAATGCCCAGCTCGAGGAGCAGGGCGTGCTGCCTGCGCTGGAGCCACTCGACGAGGCAGCGGGAGCTGTTGCGGGCGGCGATGAATCGCCGCGAGCCGAGGCAGCGGGCGCCGGCGTGGCTTCCGCGAAGCGCGGCGGCGGCAAGAAGAAGCGGAAGCGGCGCTAGTTACAGTGCGCAGACCGCTAGTTGAGCGGGAGGGGGCGGGAGGTCACGTGCATGTGAAATGATTGATGGTGACATTATTCTTGTGTCTGTAAGCTTGATGTCTGTAAGCCTGAAATATCCGCGCCAAACCGGCAACCGCAAATATATAATTTTCCAGATTCCACACCCAGCGGTGCAGACGGGCCCCTCCACACCCTTGTCCCTTCATGTAATCACATGTAGCGGTCCCCACATCCGCAATCGTGGGATCGCTTGTCATGTGAGAGAGTGCGTTGTGTTCTTGTACTTGGAGCACTTGGAGTGCAGTCATCAACCTCACATCCAGGGCCGGGGAAGCTATAAGAAGCGCACCCAGCGGGCCGGATGATCGGCATCGGGTTACGGGCTAGAGAGCCCTAGCCCTGGGGGGTGCGCGTTCGCAGGGAAAGGGCCATAAAGTAAACACGGTTCTCCGAGGGTTGGACCCGCGTACCGGGTTTCCCCTTAACTGCAGGACGCCCCCTCTACTCGGAGCTAGTGGATCTTGTTTTTTGTCGCTTTCTCTCGTAAAACTTGGAGCACTTGGAGTGCAGTCATTAACCGCACATCCAGGGCCAGGGAGCTAAGAAGCGCACCCAGCGGGCCGGATGATTGGCATCGGGTTGCGGGCAAGAGAGCCCTAGCCCCGGGGGTGCGCGTTCGCAGGGAAAGGGCCGTCCGTAAAATAAACACGGGTCTCCGAGGGTTAGTACCGCGCTCCAGGTTTCCCCTACCTAGCAGCAGAACGCCCCCTCTACTCGGAGCTAATAAACACCAGACAAGGACACGCGACGACACACACACACTCCCCCTTGGCGACGGCGTCGTTAAAACGCTTTCTCTCTGGTGTACCTGTGTTAGTGCCAGTGCGCGCCAGTCCCGTGCCCAGTGTTCTGCGAGGGAGTCGCGTTGTAAAATTCTTTGCCCCCGGGGGCCCCCCGGCCGGGGTTGAAGCAAGCACCGTCCACAAGGCACAGCTCTGCTGCAAACCATAAATGCACTCTCACTCTACCTGGACCCGTCGCCGCCGGCCGCTCTCACAGCGTCCGTCGTCGGTCGTGCTGGTCGGCATCGACTCCGCCAGTAAAAAAGGTGAGGCGGCCGTGCGACGGCTGACGGCTGAAAGTCCACCGAAAGCTGCGTCGCTCATTCGTCACCGTGTCTTGGCGCGGCAGATGCTGCCCTTGGCCGTCGCCGCCTTCGCTGCCATCGCCGCCGCCACCGCCGCTGTCCTTCTGCGCGTGCTGGATCCAGCCGTGACCACAGTGCCAATGACCCGAGTGAGCCGTCCAACGGCAATGGAGGTGGAGGAGACGGCAGAGGCGGTGGCAGTGGCGGCGGAGGAGGCGGAGGCTGTGGTGGTGGCGGCTGTTGAGGTGAGGAGGGCTGCTGCGGGAAACGCGTGCGCGGGCTCGCCGCTCGTCGTCTCCCGGCCAGATCTGAACCAGGACTCGGAGGGAGGCCGCTGCGTGCAGAGCGCATCCAACGCGAGCGCCCTCCCCTCCTCGCAAGAGCTGCCTGCTTTAGCCCCAGCCGCTTCGTCTGTGAGGTTTCGCGGCATCTCAGTCAGCACTGCAGCTGCCTCACCCCGGGTCGCATCCCACACAAGCAGCTGTGAGCGGGTCCAGACCAGGCAGGCGGCGCGGCGCGGCGAGGAGGCGGCGGGCACGGAATGGGCAGGGGGGGGCATCTCTCGGCGGCCTGCAAGCGTGAGTGGTCACGGCGGCAACGGTGCTGGCAGCGGCGGTGGCGAAGGCGGTGGCGACGGCGACGACGGTGGTCCATACAAGCAGCAGCCTCTTGGGGGTAGTGCTCGCCAGGCCGCCATCGCTGCGGGTGGCGGCGCCGTGGCCGCCGTCCTCGCAACGGCTCTCTCGGCCCAGCGTCGTTCCCTCGCCGTGAGTGCCCGAGATTATCCAAGGATGTCGCTTCCGCCCCACCGACTCTCCTCGCTTCCGCCGCCGCCATCACCGCCGCCGCCATCACCGCCGCCGCCATCACCGCCGCCGTCACCGCCACCGCCTCCGCCTCCGCCTCCGCCTCCGCCTCAGCCTCAGCCTTCGCCTTCGCCTTCGCCTTCGCCTTCGCCTTCGCCACCGCGACCACCACCGCCGCCACCACCGCCGCCACCACAACTGCTGCCGCCGCCCCCCCCACCGCCGCCGCCACCAATGCCACCGCCGCCGCCAAGAACACCATCGCCGCGAAGGCAAGCGTCACGACGGCCGCTAGCGCCTCCGCCTTCGGCAGCGCTACCGCGCCCGCCACCGCGCCCGCCACCGCGCCCGCCACCGCGCCCGCCACCGCGCCCACCACCGCCTCCGCCACCGAGTCCGAAGGCGAGAGCATTCTCGGCGCTGCCCGCGCCGCCGGCAGTGCCACCCGGCGAGGAGGGCGTGAGGGGGGTCGTGCGCGGCCGTCCCCGCTCTGGTGCTCGTCCGCCTCCACCTCGCTACGCCGCGGCGCTCGCCAGGATCGCGCCCTAGATGCGGAACGGATCCCACATCGCCCCGTATCTCCCCCATATCTCGAGCCCTAGATGCGGACACGCTCTGTATTCCGACAGACGACACGTACTCGACCAACCGTGCTCCGCTGTATACCCGTAGCCCGTGCACATGCGGTGCTCGGAATGCCGGACGGTGTGCTGCATTCACAACGTATAGGCTCGCGGCCCGCGCCGCGAGCAGAGCTGCGCTGCGCCTCGTCCGCGGGCTGAACCGCAGAGCCTCTCGCCTCCTGTCCGGCGGGGGAGCGGCCAGCCTGCTCGCTCTCGCGGCGGCGGTGGCGCTTCGCGACGCGTGGCGACAGCAACGTCTCGACCTCCTACTCTCCCAGCCGGATTTGGTCGGCAGCGTCGGCCTGCTTGCTGTCGCAGCCTTATCGGCGACGGCGGGGCCGCCGCCTGGCATCGCTACCGCTCTGGCAATGGCTGTGGCCGTGGCCAGCGGCGGGTGGGAGGCTATGCGTGCGCTACTCCGTTCTCTCCCTCGCGACCGTTGAGCACCACTTGTGCATGTGACATGTTGTTGTTAAAAAAAGTTGGTTCTTGACTTCAAAGTCAAATCTCAAAAAACACCATTTAGGCTAGTGCCATTTCACTCTGACACGCTAATCTTGAAAACGTCTCCAACGGAGCTCCGTGTTGCTTCCAGCGCCCTCCCCCGCGCTCCCTGCGGCCATGGCCGATGCTCCTAGAAGGAGAGGTCATCTGGCTACCGCGAGAGCGACCCAACTCGTCGACATCGTCCGATGATGGTGCCGCAAAGTCAGCCTTCGGAGGCTATCGTGGGGTCGAGCCGCCGGCAGTAGCCGTGACATGTGGTTCCACCACCCCTCGTAGGCTTTGCCTCTGACCGCCACCGTTCCCAGGCTGCCTAATGTGGGATGGAAAGGAAGGCTGGGAGAGCGTATATAGAAGCGTGCCCGACCTCGTCGTGGCAACCTGTACGGCAGCGCTGGTAGGCGCGATGAGCGTCGTGCCACCTGACCCGAGACGGGTCGCAGGCGTCGTACCGAGCGCGTCGAGACCGTGTCCTGATGTGATCTGCACGGGTGAGTCACGTCGGCGTCAAAGGAGCGACGTGCGACCTGTCAGAGCTTGATCTCCAATCTCAGCGGCGTCGAGTCGTCTCCGGCGGCGACAATTTTGTCCCTCCCCAGGACGCGCAGAGGCAGCTGAGATTGGAGATCAAGCTCTGACAGGTCGCACGTCGCTCCTTTGACGCCGACGTGACTCACCCGTGCAGATCACATCAGGACACGGTCTCGACGCGCTCGGTACGACGCCTGCGACCCGTCTCGGGTCAGGTGGCACGACGCTCATCGCGCCTACCAGCGCTGCCGTACAGGTTGCCACGACGAGGTCGGGCACGCTTCTATATACGCTCTCCCAGCCTTACTTTCCATCCCACATTAGGCAGCCTGGGAACGGTGGCGGTCAG